TAATCCGGACCGTCCAAGTCTGTCTAATTTCCACCATTAGACTAGACTTGACTTCCGACCGGACTAGCGGTCTAGTCTAGTCTTCCGCGGACCATTCGGAACCCTGAGCTCTAACCAGCGTCGCCCAAGTACTCTGGGAGACTGTCTATCAGGCATTGCGAACCCCGGCCCCTCACAATCTTCATGATCAATTCCCGAACCCGAGCCCTATAGCTCATGGTCACATTAGCTACCGCTTCGACTAGTGTTCTTTGAGTTGCTTAAATCATAGGCTCTTGTCTTCGGCGCAGCGGAGGTGGTGTACGCCTATTACCTCCCGCCCGTTGCGTAGGGGTACTACACTATACCCTATTTCAAGACTTTCGAACAAGGACATCTGAGAAGAATTGTGGCATCACCCAGGCACGGCGAGCAACTGAATACTCCCCCTTGATAGGGGCTTAACTTCTCATTTGTCTTCGCAAGGGCCAATGTACGATATTGTCCCGTAGGATTCTACATACGGGGGGTGTTCTGAAAATTCAACAGCGAGAGACGTGCTTATTTTCGCTAAAGATATCAAGAATACCGAGTTTTCACTCCTTTGTCTAGGACAGTCAATTTCATACTCTACAGGCCGTATAATAGCTTCCGTCAAAGAACCCTTCCTCCTCAACGACTATTCATAGTGAGAAAACCTCACATCTCGCTATGAGTATAGGCTGTCTTAGGTCTTGTGAGGGCTGAGTTACTGCTGGGCTAGAATATATCTCGCGAATTGGCCTGGAAGCATGGTCAGATGGTGTTTTCAGCACTACTGTAAGGGATTGGTACTGTATACGCACGGCCATTGTGAATGTTGTCGAAAGTTACTTTTTATGAGCTGTATGGGTAGCTGGATATAAGGAGGCATTTAGTCGCTGATTGGTGGGGGCTGTTACGTGTCCATGGAGGGTGGCTAGTGACGAGAGAGCAATGGTATGTAGATGAGGAGTACTGTAGTACCTCATACAGCGATCTGGATGGCGCTATCGTTACATGCTAGGAGCTCACCTTACTTTAGAATAACTAGGATTGTGCTACTCGGGTGGAGAGCCCAGCATAAGGGTCCCGAGCCTGGAGAAATTCATGGCAGCCCACAAATGTGGGTGCTGATCTGACCTGGGGCATCGGTGTGGCGCGGAGCGCTTGTAGGTATTACTAAAATTTACTAGACGGGCGAGGCAGCCACCTGTGTAACATAATCGTCATAAAAAACAGCTTCCACCTCGTTACCGGCACTGTAACGAGAAGGAACAAAAAACCTTCAATGGCGACGACAATCGAATGGCGAAACGGCGAAATGGCGAAACGGTGAAACGAAACCACGATTAGTATCATAACACAACATGAAAACTCTAATTGCCAGCGCACGACCTGGGAACAAGTGAGGAAGTTTGCCCGTTCCCGTCCAACTCTTTCGCTCTCTCCCTCCACTCTCTCCCTCAACACAACTACCGGTAACTAACGAAACGGCAAAGACAGGAGTATATATGAACCATGGCAAAAATATCCTCCTATCTGCAACCGATCGCCAGACATATCCGCGCTCGTCCGCGCTCGTTATCCTTTCCTCCGCATACTCCTGTACTTGCAAAAGAAAGACAGCATGTCGAGCAGCATCCACGATTTTCAACAAAGATCTATGTAGCCGGGACGGGACGAGTGAAGAAGGCGATACCAACACCCCATTGTCTAAAAGCGAGTGGAAGTCACAAAGTCGAGCTAGAAATGACAGCGTTTAAGAAAGCAAACAATGGGTGCGGGTCGGTACGGGAGCAAGGACATGACTACTGTAGTCTGTTGGAAGTGCTGCTCGGGTATGGTACTGTACAGTATGCCAGGCATGGAAGCGAACCCCCCCCCAAACCCCCACCACTGAATCGGGCCCGCAAGTTCGGCTCAGTGGCGAACGAAATACCGGTAATACCTCTGCCCAGTGTACAGCACTCGATATGATTGAGCTACCGTACCTTGCCATCCTGGAGTATTTTTTGCAACCCAATGTTTCCCCTAGGTTGTCACTATTAACGTATTCTATATTTAGTCTGACACCTGTATATTGCAGACTGCACTGGCACTAGTATTTAGAATCAGTCACTGACCGATTGCAAACTTCATTCTTACCTCGCGCTACACAAGCACGCCCTCCTACCAGCAAGATAATCCACCTAGTATCCACTCCAGGTTGCACCTGTCAACAGGACCTCGCTTTTTTTTTTTTCGCTGATGTTGACCATCTCCTTATTACCCCCCAGGACCCTGGGGAACCTATTTTCTATACCCGAGTATGGTACAGTACAAGTTCAACTTTGAATTTGGGGTCCCTCGGGCGGTATTGTGCACACGAATTGCCTTGCGGTAGCTTGCCTTCCTAACCGTATTTGGGTAGCTAAAGAATTTTGCTGCGGCAACATGAGTAAAGTTAAACTAGGTTCTTAACTTATACACGGAACTTCCCTATTTTTCAATAACAAGGTTTACGGCAGCGATTTGGACAATGTTGACTCAACTTGAATGGCAGGGCAAAGATGTAAAGATGAATTTCAATATCCTAACCAGAGAAATATTCTCATGAAGAAAACGATAGGGAATAAAAAAGGGGAAAGACTGATATGACCCAAATAGAGATAACAGAGGAAAGAGAGACAGATTGGATGATGAACGAAAACAACTAACAAAGGGAAAACAAGCTGCCTTTTATCCTTCCCTAGATCATGCTGATCCACTTCCACATGCTTCCAGCGTATGCCGTGTTCTCCATCACATTCAATTTCACTATTGCCCATTGTGCTACTTCGGCCGAGGATAAGTAAATTCAACCGAGGGTATGTTCTGACCGAGGACATTCGGTATTTCCATATGATAGGGGTAACGCCCTAACATGGAGTCGTCGCAGGTATCGTCGCAGATGTTGTCGCATATGGTGTTTGATGTGTAGGACTAACCAGTAGTCAAACATAGAGGCGTCGGAGTAGTTGATATGCCAAGAGGGTTAGGGTTGTGAAGTCTTTGCCATAGGGGAAATGTGCGGTGAGCAGCCAAGAAACACTTCCGTCCAACACCTATCGCTTCGGACGCGTGCGCTATACCCCTCAGCCTCAGCCTCAAGTGTCAAGCACAGTCTACCGCACAAGCATCTTGATCCTATTCAACAGTTTTCATATCCACCCATCCCCTTACCGGAACTCCCTCCCCTTCCATCACTGCATGCGAAATATCTCAGATTCTTCTATACATCATACCGTCCGTTTGATCCTCGCTATTGGCCCAGATCCCACTCATCTCCGACACTGAGGGTTGGCGCCTTGCAAGCCTATTAGTTTTCTGGTTTTAGTGGAAAGCGATCAGGAAGAGCGGAAAGAAGTTGAGATAGAAAACGGAACGATACAAGGCAAGGAGTAAGTCTACAGTACGAACGTAAGTGTAACCCTTGCACTAAGACTAATGTTGGGTTCTAGCGAGTGTACCCATGAACGGTCACTAACGCTTTATAGCAAGAGTGATTCTCGATCGTGATCAAGACCTGCTCAAGTATCGGAGAGAAACAAGGCAACCCCGACCTCCCTGATAGACAAGAAAATTCGCATTCGGGGCGATCGTGACGACAAGGTGAGCTCAAGCCAAGAGTTCGGTTGGCACATCATAGTTGAGGGGAGACTCAAGCCGCAAAATTCGAATATCAAATTATAGCTCAGAGGGCGTAGCGCAGATCGGAAATTATGCGTCGGTTTATGGGGGCACGCGTGCAGAAAATGCAGGACCCGGATGATCCGGATAGCTTAGGGAGCATGAATAACCAAGGTGCGGTACTGAACCATCAAGGAAAGTACGACGAAGCCGAGGCTATGCATCGACGTGCGTTAGCGGGCAGAGAAAAAGCGCTCGGGCTACATCATCGAGATACCTTACAGAGTGTTAATAATCTCGGCTTGACTCTGCGTAGGCAAGGAAAGTACGACGAGGCAGAGATTATGCATCGGCGCGCACTGGCGGGTAGAGAGAAAACGCTCGGGTTTGATCATAGAGATACCTTACAGAGTGTCAACAATCTCGGTGCGACTCTGTGTAGCCAAGGACGTTATGGCGAGGCTGAAGATATGTGCCGGCGGGCATTGGCGGGTAGAGAGAAAGCTCTCGGGCTGGATCACCCAGATACCTTACAGAGCCTTCATGATCTTGGTGCGGTGTTGCATTGTCAGGAAAAGCACACCGAGGCCGGGGATACGCGCCGGTATGCATTGGCGGGGAGAGAGAACACGCACAACCTAGATCGTTCAGATACCTTGCAGAGTGTCAATAATCTCGGTACGAGACTGCGAAGTCAGGGAAAGTATGACGAGGCCGAGCTTATGCATCGAGGTGCATTGGTGGGTAGAGAGAAAACGCTTGGGTTTGACCATTGGGATACCTTACAGAGCCTTCATGATCTAGGTGTAGCACTAGATTGTCAGGAAAAGTATGACGAGGCTGAGATTGTGCATCGACGTCTATTAGCGGGTAGAGAGAAAACGCTCGGGTTTGATCATCGAGATACCTTACAGAGTGTCAACAATCTCGGTGCGACTCTGTGTAGCCAAGGACGTTATGGCGAGGCTGAAGATATGTGCCGGCGGGCATTGGCGGGCAGAGAGAAAGCTCTCGGGCTGGATCACCCAGATACCTTAGGGAGTGTCGACAGTCTCGGTACGACTCTGCATGGCCAAGGAAAGTACAAGGAAGCTGAGATTTGCCATCGACGTGCATTTGTGGGCATGGAGAAAACTCTCGGGCTAGATCATCGAGATACGTTCCGGAGTGTCAACAATCTCGGTACGGCTCTGCGTAGCCAAGGAAAGTACAGCGAAGCTGAAAGTATGTACCTGCGTGCATTGACGGGCAGAGAGAAAACCCTCGGGCTAGATCATCCAGATACCCTACAGAGTGTTAGGGATATAGCTGTGGCGCTGTACCGCCAAGGAAAGTACGACAAAGCGGAGATTATGCATCGACGTGCCTTTGCCGGCTTAGAGAAAACGGCCGGTGTGGCTCATCGAGGCACCTCACATAGCGCCAATAACCCAGGTGCGGTGCTGCATGATCAGAAAAAGAACAGCGGAGTAGAAGTTACGCATCGACATGTAGCAGCAGATGGGAAGCGCGCGCTTGGACCAGATCGCCCAGATGTCCTATTAGGTGTTTTCCGACTAGCCATAACGCTTCTTGCCCAGAGAAAGTACGATGAAGCTGAGATCATGTATCGACATGGCCTAAGGGCTATGGAAAAAGCTGTGGGGCCGAATAATCCTGATGCCCTTGACAGTGTGAATATGCTCGGCGAAACACTGCTTGATCTGGAAAGGTATGATGAAGCGGAGGCAATTTGTCGACGCACATATGCTGGCAGGGAGAAAGCTCTAGGGGCAGACCATCAAGCTACCCTTACAAGCGCCGATAACCTTGGTCGGACACTCTATCATCAGAGAAAGTATGAAGAGGCTGAGATTATGTTTCAATCTGCGCAGGCAGGCCGAAGAAAAGTGCTTGGACTATATCACCCTGATACCTTACTGAGCGTCCTTCGCCTAGGTGTGACACTGCTTGATCGGAAAAAGTACAAAGAAGCTGAGATCATGTATCGACATGCCCTAGGGGCTATGGAGAAAGCTCTAGGGCCCGACCATCCGGAGGTCCTCGACAGTATGAATACGTTAGGCGAGACATTGCTTGATTTGAAGGAGTATGGCGAAGCGGAAGCTATGTGCCGGCGTGCGCTGGTGGGTAGAGAGAGGACACTAGGACCAGACCATCGAGATACCCTACTAAGTGCCAATAATCTTGGTTTGGCGCTGCGTAATCAGAATAAGCACCACGAAGCGGAGATCAGTTATCGACGTGCATTGGTGGGTGCTGAGAAGACTCTTGGGCTTGGTCACCAAGATACCTTAATGTGCATCTATAATCTTGCTGGGGCGTTGCACAAACAGAAAATATACGACGAGGCGGAGATGATGCATCGGCGTGCACTGGTGGGACGAGAGAAGCTTCTAGGGCTAGGTCATCGACACACCCTTCGTAGCCTCATCAAGCTAGGCACAGTGCTGTATGAGAAGAGGAAATACGATGAAGCGGAGGTTATGTATCGACGCGCCGTTACGGAGGCAGAAAGAGCTCTAGGGCCGGGTCACCCTGTTACTCTAAAAAATTTTAACCACCTCTCAATGTTTCTCTATGCCCGGGCAACGGTGGCTTGGGCGTAGCATTATGATGGAGATGAAGGGTTTAGGTTTGCTCAGGGACGGAAGAATGTTGGCTAATCTTTTACACATCTTAACCTTTTTTTTTCTTTTTCGGAAATCTCAAGCGATTATAACGCCGAGTTCCTTTTTCATTTCTTAGTGGCGGGGTTGAAAGGTTTAATTTTATGATTGGAGTTAAGCTGGCTTCACAGTTAGGGATCTATCGTGGCAATTCATTCTCTCATTTGATCGAGACTCTTGTTCACTGCGGCCGGACCATCTGGGGCCAATTGCTCCTGCGGGCTCTCTTCACTGCATCTACCTTTATAAGATAGCGGTAGTGGGTATGACACTGTTTGGGGGAACGTTGGGTTCGTGTATTGTCTGATGTGGACAACTCTGCTGTATCATGGTGGAAAGCTTTAGGGTTTTGTTTAGGTTCGTTTTTCAGAAGGGTTTACTCGAAGGGGAAGTGAGGAAAGTGAAATTTCTCCACCTTTTCTTCCCATTCCTGTAAGGAATGAACAACTAGCAGAGAACAACGAGGGCGTCAAATACGAAGACGAGATTTTCGAACAAGGGAACGAACACAACCGAATTGGACGTGAACACAAACGAACTTACAATTGCGGAAGTGGGAATTAGCCAAAGGATCGTTCTATTCCAAGTTATCGAGAACCACCGTTTGATATCACTTTTCTTTTCGCTTTTTTGCTCTTTTGTTTCCACGAATCCCTATCGACCCTCACCTTTACGTTTTCTCCCACGGGCTGGGAATTATTCCTTCAGAATGATACATGGCCATGATCAGTGCCAACCGCATAAACAAGCCTTCTACAACATCCAATGCTCCTCAAGTAGACTCAGACATAGCTACATCTCCCCACGAAAGGTAGTAGACATTCTAAAAAGGTGCGATAGGGAGTCGAGAGCAAGCGCAGATATCGAATTCCAAGCGTCAAACTCCGCCACAACTAAAGCCAATAGTGCAAAAGCACTTCCATAGGCCACGGGATGAGTTCCTACCAAGCAGAACTCACGTACCACGAAACAAGACATCCTGTGCGAGAGACATATACCTTGCATTCGGCAAGCAAGCCACAGGACACAATGCCCTGGGATTTCCAATGCAATCCACCCCTTCTATGAACCTGCGATCCCAACCTTGGATTGCACGGTGAATAACGTAGCAAAGGAAATACAAATCTAACTGCGCTATTCAAGCTTTTAGGCACATCATGCCAATGATAGAGCGCACCCATCCCGTGTATACATTTCTTTCCCAGTGGGATATATCTAAGATACTGTAACATAGGTTCCTTCCTCCAAACCTCCCATCCCCGCAATTCATTGCTCAAAACGAAAAGTTATAGGCGTGACCACGGGAGCTAGCTGACTGTTCTGCGTTGCGCTTAAGGTAAGTTAGTGGCTAGCACAGCTACTCGGCAGCTGTGCTGGAAATCTGAGATCTGTTCAATTGGCATTGGGCAGTGGCGGCCCGGGCGGTGGCGGGGGTAGTGTGGTTCTTGGAGACTAAAATGGTCCAGAAAACATCTTTAAAAATAAGTCAAAAATCAAGCCACAATTGGGCAACAACAATTAGTAACTAATTAATTATTCCACGGGGTCTGAGTAAGGTGTAAAGCAGTGAGTACAATGCGGGTGCAGTGAGCTGACCGTCTAATGACACTTGCTGGACGACTTACCCCCCAGTTAGCGAGTCCACATCGCGGCACCACCCCCAGATGTCCTAGACGCGGCAAAAAAGAACCATATACACACGGCATCCTGGTCTGGTGCCTTTGCAATGATATAGCTCGAGTGTCCATGACAAAAAATTCAGAAAATGTCACTTTCCAACTTTGCACGACATGAGCTATGTCCCCATAGATCCCCCAGTGACTGAGTGACTGGACGCTCAGGGTATCGGCCATTCATTTGAGTAGCTCTAATGTTAGGCTTCGGGCTAGAATAGGTTCAAAATCCAGGGCACCTAATATATATTTTCCACCCGAGAGGGGGCTAGAGATTTTTAGATTCCCGTCTGATCAGAAAAACATCCATGATGCGGGAGAGAAACTATATCTTTGACAAATCCCGAGAAATTGTCTAGGGCAGTGAAGAATCGCAGGGACTGAAATCCGGGACAACAGGGTGTAATTGAGCTATGCTGCTGATGGCTGAGAGGGCATGACTTGACAAGGAAGGTTATCGGGTGATGGGGGCTCACATACCCTGACAAGGAAGAACGTATCATAACCATAATACTATCTGTCGTCTTCTTTAGTGATTTTTTCCGGAGGGTAGCTGATAGGCGGGTTGTCCCAGAAGTCACGATATAGGTGGGCTAGGATTTTCGGGTCTCTTTGAAATTTAACAATTTCGCTGATTTCTTCCCCTTCTTCTCCTTTTGTATAGCTTTTCCTGCTCTTATATGAGTGACTGGATGAATTTCGTTGGCGGAAGTGGCGTTCCCAAAAGTGTTTAGTTATATCGTTGGTTCGCATACCTGTACTGTACTCGAGTAATTAGACTAACAGGACATCGCGGTGCGGGGGGGCGTATACATACCAGGGGTTTTTTAAAGGTCTAGTGGGGTTCGGGAGCGAGGGGGAGGGGTTGCAATGTTGCGCGTATTCGAACGTTGAGATGCCAATTGTTCGGTTAATCATGCTAACCTATGATACCGTAAAATATATCTGCTGCGCGATGGGTATATCTATTGTTTGCAGTGCCGCAGGTATATCCCGGATCCTTAAACTATTATCATACTCGGGCTCAAATTAAAGACCGAGATGGAGTGACATTGATATATATATGTTGCGACCACGGCTTTTGGTTGTCACACAGTCCCAATCTTTAATACTAGCCCATTTCAAAAGTATGATATTTGGAAGTATTGGCGCCAATACTTCTAGGTACTTTCGAAATTGGCTTATTTGCCACTTGTCCTAGGCCATTAGTCTAGTTAGTACCCGAAAACTGGGAGTAAAGAAATATACGCAAAACATCTGTAAATTTACCCCCCCTATTTTCACCCCCCCTGTTTTCGGGTACTAATGGCCTGGGACAAGTACTGTACTGTACTGCAATGTTGCAAAGAAGGCCTTCGGTGATCGAACTTGGGGGGTTAGAAGGGGGGGGATTGAATCGGGGATTCTGAAGATTGCGATAGAAGGGGGGGGTTCTATAAAATCTTAGTAAGCAAAAATAGCAGGAGATATTCGTTGCTCAGAAGTACGGTAGGGAAAGAGGAGTAAATTATCCATGTTTAGGAATTTTGTCATAATTTTTTTTGTTTCTTTACCTTCAACAGTTACTTTCTTCAAAATTTAATGTCATTGTTTATTGTTTTGTTAGAAGGGGTTCTATCTTATAACCCCCCGGTTCGAAAAAGCGCGTTCCAGCCCTTCGATCGTTTTCTGATCCAACCCCCCCCTTCATTGTAACATTGCTGTACTGTACCAAGTGCAAGTAACCGTGCCAAGGTTCCCATCCCTTCGAGGCTCGATGGCACTCCGTACTACCGTATGACAGTTCGGTACTAGTACTCGGGTACAAGTACAGTACAGTACTTGACCATTCATAAAGTATTCGGATACCTTGGCGCCAATATTCCAAGTTTGGGTGCTGGTTGCTATGCCTTGGCGCTAAAGCATCCGAATACTTTATGAATGGTCAAGTACATAGACTAGTTTTAAGCGGCGACGGCTCTTGAAAGGGCGACGATTACTAATGCAAAATAAAAGACTCCGATCGCCTGAACGGGGAAGTTCGCTCATTTTCCTTCAACTCTGTTTGCAACTCAACTTTCTAACTAAACGGTAAGGAAAGGAGGATATATGAATCACAAGGATGGCATCCTCCTATCCTTCCATCGATCACTGCACATATCCGCTCTCGCCTACGCAGGTTTCCCCTTCTAAGCACTCCGATGCTGACAAAAGAATGACGGGTTTCGTAAAGACTCCCGCTGTTAGTATTAGCCTCCGCTCCGCTCAGTCCCTTTGACACTCCCGTGCTGCTTCCGGCGGATACACGATTCGCCTCGGGTGGATACTGTACATCATTTCCTCCCATGCATTCTCTGACCCAAAGCACATCTCCGAACCTTCTATCCGAGCACATAAAACAAAATCCTGGGCATGCCGGGCAGCATCCATGATTTCCAACAAGTATGATCAGCGACTACCAGGATCTGGGTAGGATTCTCGCATGCACCTGGTCCGCCATTCGTCGCCATTCCATTCAATAAACCCGATTCCTAATAGTCGCTGAAACATGGATCATGCCCTCTTCACCGCTTTCTCCTGGGTTCTTCGTCTAGGACATAAGCTTTACGGATTCCGGATTCAGGTAATACTAGGGGCATATATCTACTGAACCACCCATCGCGTGCGTTATACTGGTATCGCCTAACACCTTTCACACACTAAAACCGACAATGCTACTTTCTCGGTGACCCGCTGTACCCGAAGACATCTGGAATGAAAGGGCCACCTTGGAATACTGATTCCAGGTTTACCAATAGTTAGTTTGAATTAGCCCCCGTTCATGCACTTTTGTCGAGCCCATCATAACCTTAGTCTTTCCCATATTGCAAGCACTATTACAGGCACAAAATATAGATATCTCACAGCCCGCCCAACAGTCAAACCTGATGGCAGGGTTTCCGTTGGTTAGAAGCGCTCGCTTCGCCGTGCCGGACCCAAGTTTGTGGCATCGTCCGGGTGTTCTGGGAGACTGTCGCGCATTGCGAACACCCCCCCTGCCCCTCGCAATCTCCATGACCAATTCCCTAACCCTAACTAGCGACCACGTCGCCCAGTGCTCCCCGAGTTGTGTACGGATTCTTGGTTTCGATGCGGTAGCTATGGTGTACACCTAGTACCTCCCGCCCGTTGCGTAGGCGTGCCCTATATATCCAAACTTTTGTGCAGGGGCATCCGAGAGGCTCAGTGGCATCGCCCCTGTCTAGCGAGCAATACAGCACTCCCGTGCAATGGACATTTAACCACTCATAAGCTTTTGCAAGATCTGAAGTGTGGCATTGCCCCACGGGGCTCTATAGATTGGAGGGTATTCAGAAGATTAAACCGAGGGACCGTGCACGCTTTTAGCCGATTTCGAAAGCAAGGCCGACCTAACGGCGTGCGAGGAGGAATTGAGACCAAAATAATTCCTCTGTTCAGTGTACTTTATATGACTGAGTAATCTCGCGATATTGGGTCATTGCTTTCGAGGGCCTAATGTTTTCCCTTAGATTGTGATTTATTTGTGCATTTTATATTGAGTCTAATATCCTTCGCCGGTACTAAATTTGGAACCGGTCGCCGACCAATTGCAAATTTCATAGCCCACTACGGCACTGAATTGTGGGATACTGTCAGTTATAGTGGCCGTTGCCCGCAAGCAAAAGATCCCCCCCTCTCCAAGAGGTCGCCCTGCCGTTCTAGGGGTTGGGTTCTTCTGCCAAAACTTGCTGAGACTGGGACGGATCCTACAAGTACTCGAGTATGATAGCCAACCGTATCGAAAGAATAAGCGGAGGACCACCTGGTTGGGGTGGCTCTATATGTG